AGAGTTGAGGCTTGCGCGTACGGGTCGCTCGAGTCATTCGAGTGTAGACTTGGTGTATGCCTTGGACGGCGACACTCCAGGAACATGAGTCGCCCAACGTGGTTCGTTTCGATTCTCAGGCTTAGGCTTGATACTTTAGGGTTTAGGGTTTAATTAGGGTTTAGGGTTTAGGGTTTAGGGTTTAGGGTTTAGGGTTTAGGGTTTAGGGTTTAGGGTTTAGGGTTTAGGGTTTAGGGTTTAGGGTTTAGGGTTTAGGGTTTAGGGAGGCAAGCGGTCATCAGCCGGCAAGGGCTCATGTCATGTGTGTCTATGTGTATGTAGCCGTACGTATGTTTATATGTGTTTGTCTAAGTGTCTAAGCCTATGTCTGTGTGGTAGGGGGAGAATGTACATATGTTTATATGTATGTATGCACCCACACACACACACATAGACTGGTATTATAGAGAGTGTTTTTTGCCGTGTGTGTGTGTGTGTGCGCGCGCGCATGCCCATGCCCCATCTTCCATCACCGAGGCATGTGCAGGCCAACACCAACAAGCTCGCGTCGCATCTTGTCTGGTGAACGTAGACCTTCCCGGGGGTTTGGAGGAGAAGGGGGCTGCAGTCGTAACCCCCCATCTGCAGCCCGAAAAACTCTGAAGCGCAAAAGGGTTGGGGCCCCTGGACCGGCACCCACCCCGAAGGGTGTGAGGGTTTGGGGTCCTAAACCTATGGGTGCTGGGCTTTGGGGTCCCGGTGACCCTCAACCCTGTAGCTTGGGATCAGTCCTTAATACGGACTAGTACCCCCCTACTATGATCCCTATTAAGGACTGTTTGTACCATGGGGAACATCCCAACCCTAAACCCTAAACCCTAAACCCTAAACCCTAAACCCTAAACCCTAAACCCTAAACCCTAAACCCTAAACCCTAAACCCTAAACCCTGAACCCTAAACCCTAAACCCTAAAACGTCAGGCTTGGCCGCGCCTCGTCTCCGATGAACCGTGCCACGTCGCCGCTGCGGCGGGCGGCCACGCCGGGCCGCAGGATCGCAGCTCCAGCCGAGGAGCTTGGAGGGTTTAGGGTTTAGGGTTTAGGGTTTAGGGTTTGGGGTTTAGGGTTTAGGGTTTGGGGATTAGGGGCTTCGGGCTTCTAAACCGCTTCCATGGTCCCTCAGTATGGGCCTGCAAAGGGGACAACTTTTATACCTCCGAACATTTTCCCTTAAAAGCCAAGGCAAATGTAACTACCCTACCTTGAGATAGACCCAACCCCCAAACCGAAAACTCTCAACCCTGAACCCCCTGAACCCTAAAGCACCTGGTCTACTTGGAGGTTTATGGGTGTTGATGTGTAGGGCTTTAAAACGGCTTTAAGCATCTATGACTTTCGGGTTTAGGCTTCAAAGTTGAAGGGTTGAGCTTAGGGTTTAGGGTTTAGGGTTTAGAGGGTTTAGAGGGTTTAGAGGGTTTAGAGGGTTTAGAGGGTTTAGAGGGTTTAGAGGGTTTAGAGGGTTTAGAGGGTTTAGAGGGTTTAGAGGGTTTAGAGGGTTTAGAGGGTTTAGAGGGTTTAGAGGGTTTAGAGGGTTTAGAGGGTTTAGAGGGTTTAGAGGGTTTAGAGGGTTTAGAGGGTTTAGAGGGTTTAGAGGGTTTAGAGGGTTTAGAGGGTTTAGAGGGTTTAGGGTTCAAAGGCTCAGGGGGTTAGGGCTTGAGGGTTTTTAGGGCTTGAGGGCTTCATTTGTTTCCGGGCTTCGGGGCTTGTTTCGGGTTTAGGTTCCCTTGTAACCCCCTTTAGACCACACTCTAAACCCTAAACCCTAAACCCTAAACCCTAAACCCTAAACCCTAAACCCTAAACCCTAAACCCTAAACCCTAAACCCTTTTTATTCCTAGGTTGCTCTAGGGTCTAGATTGTGTGGACAGAATTTGCATGGGAGTTTTGCCTCTCAGGTCTACTCTCTTGAAGGTTCATAGCAGTACCCCAAACAAGGCTAGTTATAACGACTGGGCCCGCGTTCTAAGTTCGCGTGTTCTTTCAGTTACCTTGATTTACATGAACAGGTTTGTGTGGTATATTTTCATGTCTTCGGTATAGGGCGGCACGCAAGTAGAGCCACTGGTACCCCCAATGTGGCGCTTTGAGATGCTAGGTTCGCGCTAGGTCAAATGAACAAAGTACATTCCCAGCACCACACACCGTAAATCAGTCACTGTAGTTGGTGCTGATCAGCTGCTGGTAGTTCTGAAGCCTTTCCGGTTCCGCTTATTCCCAACGACTTCGTGGTTCACTTGTCCTGGTGTTGACCTCAAGATGCCTTGAATTTAAATGCTCTGGGAGAATAGGCATATGCCGTTGCAACCCTAAACCCCAGTCCCCTAAGCCCTCGGGCCACGGCTGCCCATGAGCTTCCAAATCGTGGGAGGGCTGCTTGTTCGACCCCATCCCGACCTAAGTGCCGCAACCCCAAGGGACCGTGCAGACCACCATCTTCAGGGTTGGTTTTGAGGTTTTAAGGTACCCTAAACCCTAAACCCTAAACCCTAAACCCTAAACCCTAAACCCTAAACCCAAAACCCATAAACCCTAAACCCTAAACCCTAAACCCGAAACCCGAAACCCTAAACCCTAAACCCTAAACCCTAAACCCTAAACCCTAAACCCTAAACCCTAAACAGGACGGCGCCGTCCACAGTAGCCACCTCCTGCAGCTCTTGGATGAGCAAGAGCAAGCCCGGCACAAGATGGGGAGCTACCCTCGCTTCCAGCCCACGTGAGCTGTCCTACAGCTTACACTCTTAGGGTTTAGGGTTTAGGGTTTAGGGTTTAGGGTCTGTCTTGGGATAGAGGCTCCCGAAATGCTAAACCCTCAGCCCGAAAACAAGCCGAACCCTTGTTGTTGTTCTTTCTTAGGGGTCAGGGTTTAGGGTTTAGGGTTTTAGGGTTTAGGGTTTAGGGTTTAGGGTTTAGGGTTTAGGGTTTGCATTTTAGGGATCTACAGTCCTACTTCGTAGGGCTTGGGGGAAGGACAGGTATCAGGTTGTTGGCCTTTGTCCTGCTGCCCTATTGCAACGCAATAGCCCCCCCCCCCCCCCCCCCAGCTCAGACAACCCTAAACCCTAAACCCGAAACCCTAATCCCTAAACCCTAATCCCTAAACCCTAAACCCTAAACCCTAAACCCGAAACCCTAAACCCTAAACCCTAAACCCCAAACCCTAAACCCGAAACCCGAAACCCTAAACCCTAAACCCTAAACCCTCAACCCTCAACCCTAAACCCTAAACCCCAACCATGGGTTCGGTACAGGATCAGCTCTCTTGAGAAGCGTCGGCTGGTCTCGAAAGCTCTGATAGCGAGCTATCAGAATGCCAGACTTCCGCAGAGCTCCGGGGCACGGATGGGGCTTCGTGATTCACAGCTGGGTCCAAGATGTGTAAAGTGGAGACTTGGAACAGAACTTAAGGTACACAATGATCAATCTGGGAGTTTCCGAAATTAGGGGGTGCCTTTTTGGGGTCCTTAGATATAAAGGAATCCTGCTATTTGGGGGGGATGTCATTTAGGGGTCCCCTGCTTTTGTAAACCCCCATATCGGGCCACAGAGATTAGGTTTTCGAGCTGCGTACACAGAGGGTTCAAGGCAAAATCTGCCCAGCTGGTGCCAATGCTGAGCGCAGACAGCACGGAAAAAGGCTCCCGTGTGGCTTCTTCACTCAGCTGAGCTTCTTTGAAACATCTTGGGCTTCAAGTTGCTTGTTGGGCATATGAGCAGGTTGGCTGTTGTGTCGCCCTCTGACAGCAACGCAGTATCTGCCACCCGTGCTGGTATACTTTGTCACCGCACCCCCCAGCTTACACGCACTGCAATTTGGGTAAAGTCCACCTTGGGTACGGTTTTGTTTTGTTTGCAGGGAACCTGAAAACAGTACGTAGGCGTTAACCTCCATTGTTGCCGTACGTACCTATTGTCCTACGGAGCCTTTCCCTTGGATTGCCCCAAATTGGCCATGGTTTTTAGAACTGCCTCCTGTCCACATAATCATCCTTGCCGATCGCCAGTTGCCCTAAACCCTAAACCCTAAACCCTAAACCCCCTAAACCCTAAACCCCCTGAACCCTAAACCCTAAACCCTAAACCCCAAGCCCTGAACAGGCTGAGTTTTAGCTTGTGTGTCTTGGGAGTCTTGGGAATCTCCTGGAGCTCCCAGAGGTAAACAGTCAGCTGCACCCAATAGGGGTTTTTTGAAAAGAGACACCCTGAACCCTGAACCCTAAACCCTAAACCCTAAACCCTAAACCCTAAACCCGGGGGGTTCCCAGAAGAAGGACTAATATTATTTGGGGGTATATTTGGGGAGGCCGCGTTTTGTGGGAGTACCCATATTGTCTGCTCAGCGTTCGAGTAGTCTTGCGAGCTTAGGATGCATGGTCGCGACCGCCCTTCGTTTAGGGTTTAGGGTTTGGGGTGCTGAGGATGTGGGATTGAGGATTTTGAGTTTCCAGTGTTTTTTGGCAAGGGATGCTCGTAAGCCCCCGGTTGCTGCCGGTGCTAACGAAACTAAGCTGGGTCCGTCTCTTCACGTAGGACTTCTATGTCCCCCTTGTGAATCTTTTTTTTGTTATTTTTGTTTATACAGAGGACCCAAGAGGATATTCAAAAAAAAGGTTCTAAGGGGAGTATAGACTTCTGTTGATGACAGCCTGCTCAATCCAAATCTTAGACCTTACAGCGACAGCGAACTGCGCGCCCCGCACCCTACAACACGGAATTAGGGTTTAGGGTTTAGGTTTATGGTTTTGGGTTTAAGGGGAAAGTCAACCCCTGAACCCAATCTTCCATCTGAAGCCGACAGCCTCAAACCCTCGCGTCCCCAAACAACCCTATCTCACTCTTCTCTTGAACCTTAAGACACCAGACTCCTCACGAACCCGAAAGCCTTTAAAGCCCCAACACCCAAACAACCCGCAATTCTGCCATCTAAGCCCAAAGCCTGAGCGCCCTTAGCGCCACCCAGGTCGAGCCCTAACAAGAACACCATCAGCTTGTTCAGGGACCCGCCTGCCTCAAGAGGGATCCCATGGGTCTCTGGGCAGAGCATTCTTTCTGCACCTGACCCCATGGATTTCAGGGCCTTAGGGCTTCAGTGGCTTATATGAGCTTTGTGTTGGGCTGTTCCCCCTATGCTAACAGTCCTAATAGGGTTTTTCGTACCCCCTATTAGAATCCCTATTGAGGACTGTTAGTATATGGGGGAACATCCCAAGCTTTGTGCTCTTTAAGCACGAATCCCCAAAACCCGAAACCCCATCCTTTCTTAGGACTGTTAGTATAAGGGGGAACATCCCAAGCTTTGTGCTCTTTAAGCACGAATCCCCAAAACCCGAAACCCCATCCTCCCTTAGGACTGTTAGTATAAGGGGGAACATCCCAAGCTTTGTGCTCTTTAAGCACGAATCCCCAAAACCCGAAACCCCATCCTCCCTTAGGACTGTTAGTATAAGGGGGAACATCCCAAGCTTTGTGCTCTTTAAGCACGAATCCCCAAAACCCGAAACCCCATCCTCCCTTGCGCCCGCAGGAAGGAGCGCGCATCGCGCAGCCACAGCCGCTGCCGGAGGGTGTGGACCCCCGAAGACGGGTTTAGGGGTTGATGGCTTCAAGGTGGTCTTTGGCTTTATAGGGTTCAAGATTCAAGGTGTCAAGGGTGTTGGGGCGTTATGATGATGACGATGATGATGATGGTGATGATGATGGTGGCGATGACGACGATGAGGGTGATGATGATGTCGACAATGCTGCGGATGATGATGTTGCAGCCCGCTGCTCATGATGATGATGGCACCGGCTCGAGAATAGAAGAATGAGGAGAAGGTGAAGGAGGGAGGGAGGAGGGAGGAGGGAGGAGGGAGGAGGGAGGAAGACGGGCCATCAGCCTGCCTTTGTGCACCTTTCCGACTCGAGCGCTGCAAGGCCTGATCGGAAAGCCACTCTATCCGCACCTGTGCTTCAAGAACATCACTGTGCAGGCCGACCGGGGGTGTCCCTGAGTCTTTTTCCAATAAAGTAAGTTTGCTTTATAGTCCCTTATGGCACCCTCATGGGGTCCCCTTTGTCAACTAAAGAACTATTCCTGTTTTGAGGGTTCTTGAAGTCTCTACGCTCAATGAACTGTCGTTAATTTACCAGCCTCTTCTTATGCGAACTGAACAGAAATGCTCGCAAGAAGTAGGTTCCAGTTCTGTTTGAGAAACTAGGGGACAGGTCGGGAGAACATCTTCTAGATCCCTCCTGTAGTAAATAAGAGTTGTTGCTTGTGTGGTACAGCGGCTTGGGATCTGTCTTGCGCTTAGGGGCCTGCTGGTTTGGGCTTTTAGTTGCTTTTTTAGGGCTTTGTTTTTTGGGGGGGTTTTAGAGCTTATATCTGCTACACGCAAATCGAGTCGACGGATCATTCCTAAAGCCCTGAATTACAAACCCCAAATCCTTCCCTGCTCATTCCTCGCTCGAGCTAGCCTTAGCCACGCTCTGCTCGAAACCTGTAATCCCTCATTGCCCCTCCCTCACCCCCGCTGCACCCCCCCCCCCCGTGGGTGGCTTAAATAGGGTCTATTTGGAAGCTGGGACTCGGGTTTTCTTATAGCCATACACGTTTCCACGAGGGTACGCTGCTGTCACGTCAGTCGTACTATGGTGGCCTCAGGAACAAGAACCAGGTAGTTCCTCTTTTCTCTTCTCTTTTTCTCCTCAATCCTAAAGTCGAAGGCTCTCGTGAGGAGAAGAGAAGGGAGAGAAGGAGGGAAAGATAAGAGGAACACGATTTTCATGGGAAGAGCCAAGAAAAGAATAGAAGAGAGATAAAACAAGGCGCAAAGAAGATGGTACTCTTCTTTATCTATCCTCTCTCCCTTATCTCTCCGTTCCCTCTGTCTTTTCGAAATGAGAAAAACAAAAAGAAAGATGAAAAGAAGAAGGGTTAGGAAAAGAGCCGAAGAGATAGGCCGAAAAGAGGGGTATGGTGAAGTACGGCAAAGGTCCACGCACAAGGAGTCACCTTCTGCTTACCCTTCCACTGCTTGATTTTACAAGCTCCTTTCTTGTGTTTTATCAGTTAAAATTAAAAGGAAACAGAAGGAGAGAAGGGAAAGGGAAGTGAGAGAGGAGAGACAACAAGGAGGCCATTTTAATTTCCTGTGAGTTATCAAAAGGAATGCAATATTATGGGAAGAGCAATGGAAAAAAAGAGTGGAAGAGAAATTAAGACAGGAGAGGGAGGTGCAAAAATAAGGCAAAGAGAAGATGGTGCCGTTTTCATCTCACCTCTCGTTCTTATCTTCCTCTTCTCTGGTTCTTTTCCCTGTGAAATAAAAAAACAAAAGGAAGGACAATGAACATATAAAGGAACCCGTTTTCGTTTTCCGTTTGGGCACAAGGAAAAAAACAGAGGCGATAGGGCGAGAGGAGGGGTTTGCTGAAGCATGGGGAGGGTGTACGGGCAAGGGGCCAACTCCGCCCACTTCCCCCATCCATTGAAAGAGGAAAAGGAACAGGGCCTCCATTCCCCTCTTATTCTTCCTTTCTTGCGTTTTTGTCGTTTAGAAGGGAACAGGAGAAGAGGAGGGAGAGAGAAGGAGAGAGGAGACATAAAAAGGGTTGCATTTTTAATGGGAAGAGCAAAGAAAAGACCAGAAGAGAGATGATGGGAGAAGAGGGGGAGACAAAACAAGGCGCACAGAAAATGGGCAGATAAGAAGAGAGGAAAGGGAATGACCAAGTACAATGAGGAGTTCTTCAATTTCCCTCCCTATCTCTTATGTTACTTTTCCTTCTTGTGGGGTGTCCCTTTTTCTCTTGAAGATGCAGAAAACGATTGAAAAGGACACCCGTTCCATCGCCCATATGTAGGGAAAGAGAGAGAATCATGAGCATCAGCTGGGCTTGCTGCCAATCCAACATGGGCGTCCCTTTTAATCGCATTCTGTGTCCTTTTTTCTCGCTTGAAGATGCAGAAAACGATCCAAAAGCACATCTGTTGGAGGAAGAGAGAAGGAGAGAGGAGAGATACCAAGGATTGCATATTTAATGGGAAGAGCAAGGAAGAGAATAGAAGACAGATGAATAGAGAAGATGGCGCTCTTCTTTATCTATTCTCTCTCCCTTGTTTCTCCCTTCCCTCTTTCTTTTCGAAATGAGAAAAACAAAAAGGAAGAACTATGAGAAGGAGAAGAGTAAGGAAAGGAACAGAAGAGATAGGCCGAGAGGATGAATATGATGGAGTATTATGGAAAGGCTCACGCGCAAGGAGTCACCCTCTGCTTACCTTTTCACTGCTTTATCATATGAGTTCCTTTCTTGTGTTTTATCAGTTAAAAGGAAGCGGAAGAAGAGAAGGGAAAGGGAAGTGAGAGAGGAAAGATAACAAGGATGCTATGTTTCCCGAAGCGTGCTGCAAGGAATAGAAGAGACAGGAAGCAAGGAGACGGAATCACAAAATAAGGCGCAAAGCTGTACATATCATCTCTCCCTTGTCTCTCCCTATTCCCTTTCGAACTAGAAAAAAACCATTCTTGCTTTTCACAGATAGGTTCCCTCTCTCCTCTTCAGGAAATCCCCTTTCCCTTATGTTGCTTTTTGAAGCGAATAAGAAAAATAGCAGATAAGAAGAGAGGAAAGGGTCAATTTCCCTCCCTATCTCTTATGTTGCTTTTCCTTCTTGTGGGGTGTCCCTGTTTCTCTTGAAGATGCAGAAAACGATTGAAAAGGACACCCGTTCCATCGCCCATGTGTAGGGAAAGAGAGAGAATCATGAGCATCAGCTGGGCTTGCTGCCAATCCAACATGGGCGTCCCTTTTAATCGCAGTCTGTGTCCTTTTTTCTCGCTTGAAGATGCAGAAAACGATCCAAAAGCACATCTGTTGGAGGCAGAGAGAAGGAGAGAGGAGAGATACCAAGGATTGCATATTTAATGGGAAGAGCAAGGAAGAGAATAGAAGACAGATGAATAGAGAAGAGGGAGAGACAAAGCAAGGCGCAGAGAAGATGGCACTCTTCTTTATCTATTCTCTCTCCCTTGTTTCTCCCTTCCCTCTTTCTTTTCGAAATGAGAAAAAAAAAAAGGAAGAACTATGAGAAGGAGAAGAGTAAGGAAAGGAACAGAAGAGATAGGCCGAGAGGATGAATATGATGGAGTATTATGGAAAGGCTCACGCGCAAGGAGTCACCATCTGCTTACCTTTCCACTGCTTTATCATATGAGTTCCTTTCTTGTGTTTTATCAGTTAAAAGGAAGCAGAAGAGAAGGGAAAAGCAAAAATTGAGCCCAACATTTTAGGACCAGGGCTTGCGATCTGACCCTTTGGAGCAAAAATCGATTCCAAAATCTTAGGGACCAGGGCTTGCGATGTTACTCTTTGGAGCAAGAAATGAGCCCAAAATCTTAAAGACCGGGGCTTGCGATTTCACCTTTTGGAGCAAATACTGGGCCCAAAATCTTAGGGACCAGGTCTTGCAATTTGACTCCGTGGAGCACAAATCGACCCCGAAATCTTAGGGACCAGGGCTTGCGATTTGACTCTGTGGAGCACAAATCGACCCCGAAAACTTAGGGACCAGGGCTTGCGATTTGACTCTTTGGAGCAAAAATCGACCCAAAAATCTAAGGGACCAGGGCTTGCGATTTTACTCTTTGGCGCAAAAACTGGGCCCCAAATCTTAGGGACCAGGGCTTGCGATGTCACTTTTTGGAGCAAAATTGAACCCAAAGTCTTAGGGACCAGGGCTTGCGATTTGACTCTTTGGAGCAAAAACTGGGCCCAAAATCTTAGGGAGCAGGGTTTGCGATTTGACTCTTTGGAGCAAAAACTGGGCCCCAAATCTTAGGGACCAGGGCTTGCGGTTTGCCTCTTTGGAGCAAAAATTGAACCCAAAATCTTAGGGACCAGGGCTTGCGATTTGACTCTTTGAACCAAAAACTGGGCCCAAAATCTTAGGGACAAGGGCTTGCGATGTAACTCTTTGGAGCAAAAAATGAACCCAAAATCTTAGGGACCAGGG